CTGTTGAGCATGTTGCTTCTTCTCTCAAAGAACACTCAGCCTGCTCCACAACTTGCACTTCAGGCTTTAGGGGTGATTGAACCTGATCGGAGAGCACTTGATGCACAACCTGTTGAGCATTTTGCTTCTTTTCCCAAAGAACACTCAGCCTGCTCCGCAACTTGCACTTCACGCTTTACCGGTGATTGAACCTGGTCAGAGAGCGCTTGATGCGCAACATGTCACGAAAGTTGCTTCCTTGCACAAAACACAAAGCCATCGAGCCTGCTCCTGCACAAAGTGCACTTCAGGCTTCACGGCTGCCTGAAACTGGTCAGTGACAGTTTGCTTGAGAACTTGAGGTCAGCAGTCTCTGCCTGCTCTTGCATTAGCACTTCAGGCTTCAGAGGTACCTGAACCTGGCGCCAGGTGGTGGACGCACTGTATACATCTTTCCCTTCACCATCTGCATCCAGCCTGCTCGCGAAGCATCTGCACGGCAGGCTTCAGTGCCTGAAAGACCTGGCTTTGAAACCATCGTTTGCATGGTGCTCAAATGACTTGAAGTAGATTGAAGCAGGCTATGTTCAACGCGACCAACAGGTCTTTGCTCTCCATGTCAGGGACTTGGGGACCACTGGATACTGAGAATTGTTTGGGCAAGTATAGATATATATATATACTATATGTCTTCTAGCAAGCAAGTTGATGTCACAGAGTGCAGATTCTCATCCGTTGCAAAAACCGAGATATTCTGTCGCTATCATGGATCATGGATGTCAAGCGCACTTCTTCAGCCCCGGCATTGAGTGTGTGCAGGTCTTTTGAACGGCAGATGACTCCATGCCCAAAATACCGTCACCTGCGCTCTTGCGTGGCTGTCTTGAGCCTCAAGGCGAAAAATCTTCGTGACACAAGGGGCATCCAGGTGTTGGCTCTCCTGTTTGGATGGCGGAAGCTTTCGACCCGGTGTGGTGCTCCACAAAGAAACTAGTCAGGTCTTACGTTTTTGTTGAGCCATGGCAATGTCTGGCCTCTTTGGCGTTATACCAAGCAGCAAGAGTCGTTGGAGCAGTGACCATCTCTTGAAGAGTGCCTTCACCTCGCTGAAGGAAGCCGAATCGCTTGGAGGCCATGCGATGGGACCATCCATGTACAACCCTGACTGAACGAACGGATGCAGCCGAGCAGGGCTCCGATTCCACCTGCATCTGAGCGTCCCCCGTCTCTGCTTTCGTGTCTCTGCGGGTGTCTGACATGTGAGAGTTCCGAAAGCCGAGAAGGCGAGTGCCGAAGGCGAGTGAAAGTACTTGATCCTCTGTACACGGAGGAAAGCAAAGCGAAGCTGACCAGATCTGCTGGGGCCCTACATGTGACCCAAACCAAACCCGAAGTGATAATCATGGGTCCTGAATCCTGAGGCTCTAGTGTCGGAGCATGTGGCTTTGTCCAAGTGACCTTTGATTTCCACTGAGGCTTCTGTTGAGCACAGCGATGCCACGTTTTTGCCTCCTCCAAATCATTCAAAAAATAGACTACTTCCAGGGCTTCAAATTCCAAACAGTCGAATCAAATGCGAGGCAAATCCCACCTGGTACCGAAGCAATGACATGGTCAGAGAACTCCGAAAATTGGACTCCACCAGGACACCTGAAAGCGAGAACTCCGCGTTTTTTTTCCGGGTTTGGGTGTTGCCCAAACCAATCTCTGAAGGATGATGTTCAACCGCTGCCGTTGTCTGACTTTCTTTGCATCTTCAACTGTTTGATCTCTGATTTTGAACAAAACCAAAAGACCGCACCGCGCCGCTGCTGATCTTGGTGGCCCCACGGCACTCGGGCTCGGAGACTGAAGGTGTACGGTCTGCCAGGGGCACAGCCCTCAATCACATAGCTCTGCTCCTGGCCGCGTCAAGCGCGGCGCACCGAATGTCTTTCTTTCTTCTAAAGGTCTGAAGACGAAAGAAGAAGCAATGGGAACCTACTAGCGATGGCCTCCACGTAGTAGCTTCTAGTTACTAGAAAGCTTCAAAGACAAGCTAGTAGCTTTATTGTTACTGAGTCTGAAACATGTCTGAACATACAAAATGTCTGCGAGCCCCACTGTATTTGGTCGAGTTGGTCCCTCAGCATGCTTCCAAGCGGAACCCCTGTCTCTCCGCCGCCTGTACTGCCTCACCCTTGGCAAAGTAAACGGCTGAACACCAGTGTTCACGAACACGCAAGCGACCTGCAGAACATCTGCAACAAAAGAACTGCTTTACCTTGGAGCCATGGCCATGTTAGCTTGGAATAGTGAATAGTGCAACCTTTTGAAACACCTGCATCGAACACTGCATACAAAATCTCCCACTCGCTCTTCAATCTTCCCTTGCCTCTCAACCTGGTCCTCGATTTGATCCCATGCGGCCCGGGACTCGTTTCGCACAGAGCGCGTGAAGCGCCGCGCTGCGCACCGCGGCTGCGTCGCGCGGGCGACGCGGGGTCGCGCGGAGCGGTACGCGGTCGCGCCTCCAATGCCCTCGGACTGCTGACGGATTTCAAAGGTGATCTCAGGTCCCAAACGCTCGAGCAAATCCTGGGGACAGAGATCGGCCAGCAAATCGACGTCAGGAAAGGTTTGAACTGAAGGCTTTTGTTTGAAGAGAGCGGCATTGTAGCTCGGAGATAGGTTCTTGACCACTCAAATAGTGGGCATGGCTTGGCGATTCTACGCTTCACCTTTCCAAAAGCACCACGTGCAACCAGCTTTTGCTGCAAATGTATATAACCAGTGTGGACAAACAGCCAAGGCCTCAGTATCTTCGACGCTTGCAAACACGTGCTCTCCTCGTCGAAGAACCAGGTGAGCCGAATGTTGGTGTCTTCCACGCGCGCCATGAGTTCTTCAGGCATGTTGATCTGCATGGCCTGGCAGAAGCAGAACTCGTGCGCAGCCGATCCACCGCTTTTCTCGGTGTGGATCTGCTGCGGCCACCGGGCCTCGCCTCTGTTCTTTCTTGCCCCATCGTCTCGCTCTCAGGTAAGACCTCACAACGTTTTGGACGACCCCAGACACGCAAGCTGCACCCCCCTCGGTGTTCCATGCTCACCCACACACCCACCCACACCACCTGTTTTCACCACCTTTGAACCCGACGTTTCGCATGCCCACGGAAAGGTCGACATGTCGGCTGGGAGGCCAACGCTGCTTCCATCCAGACTGCCATAGGAAGGAGACATGACCTGGACCGCGGTTGGCTCGCGTGCTTGCGCGTGGCGCTTTCTCGGTGTGATTCCACATGCATGTCCAAAGCACATCAAAGCGGCTCCGCAGACAAAAGGAAAGGGCGAAGCGACGCCCGACCGGTTTTGGCCAAGCCGACCGACGTGTTTGGTCGCAACCGGATGAGGATTCTCATGGAGCCGCGTGCTTTCGCGCCTTGATTTGCTCAGTGTCCGATTTAGCACCTGAGAAAGCAGCGTTTTTTTGGAGCAGCTGAGCAGCCAGAGCCAAAATCTCACAGGTGTTGCTTGGGATTTACAATGGGGCCTTCAGGAAGGAAAAAAACGTGTTCGCTGCTGAACCTGTGGAAAGTCGAAGATTTCTTGGGACATGAGCCAAACTGCCCCATCCTTTGTCCAAAATCAGTGCATAAAGTCGGTGTTCACAAAAACATCCCGCATGGAACGGATGTTTTAAGTGAACCGAGGTGGATATGAGTATTGTCCCATGTGCGAAGTAGTGTAGATTCTTGATTCAAAAGCATGGATTGCAGTGTAAAGCTGTGTAAGGCCTCTTCGTACGTGGGTGTTTAATACAATTGTTTCAAATCCAGAGCCTACATGAATGATGATCCCAAGGATCCGTTCATTACAGCATGGCGTTTCCCGTTTCCGGCGGGATCTCCGCCAGTGAATATATCTGGGTTCCCGAAATCGGGGCTTCTTCCACGCAAAGAACAGAAGAAAACAACTGTCGGAGATCGTTCGTCCCGGGGGAAAACCTCCCAATGGGTTTCAGATCAAAAGGCCTCTGAAAACGCTTTTTGCGGAAGAAAGGCCGCCGATGTCGAAATCTGTCGCCCATACGACCGACCCAAGAACATCGGCCGCATCGTACCCGGGGTCGCCTACACCGGCCGCAGCATCGCCACTGCATGGGACCAAGTCCACCTAGAATCGAACGAACGAACTCCCCCAAAAGCGACGTGTGCCCTCCTAGGACTCCGCCAACGACCTCGTCAGCGAGTCCGATCATGAACCCCCGCCCGAGATGGGTTTCGCTGTTGAAGTGGTCTGGAAGTGATTGTGTTACTTGTTTTTTTCAGCCCGGGCTAATCTCTGAGGCATCTCTTGGACCTAATAGGAAGCGATCGAGGATGTAAAAGACATGATGCAAAAGGATTAATCACTTCCACTGGACTGTGCTCCCGGATTTCCCATAATGGCTTACTCGGCCCGTGGACGTTGCAGAGTGAACGAGCTTCGACTGTTAAGCATGCCACCTTGCTTTCGGGCGTGTTTGCCACGAAGGCGGCTCGGAGAGAAAAGAACTCCTCAACCTCGGGCCCGGGAAATTGACGAAGCCAAGGTGAATCAAAAAGAATGGTTCCTAGCAGCTGGTCAACAACTTCCAATAAATCAGGCCATATGGATCCATTATGGAAGCATCTTCGGATACATGTTGCGGGCACTGGCTTTGAGTCCAAACAGATTCTTCAAAAGCGCTTCCCTCATGACAGGCAACTGGTTTCATTCTCGGTTGTGAGAAAGCAGTGTTGGAAGCTGCCTCCGATTGCAGCTGCTGTGGCTGCTGTAGCAGCTCTAGCTCTGCAGGCTCTGCAGCTGCGTCCGTCTCAGGCTTTACTTCGACTGTGCTCTCTGCTTCGGCTGATCTTGCTTGAGGCTTGGCGAAGACGGCGGACCCCTCCACGGCCCACACCGCCCCGGCCGGCTGGACGGCCGTCCGGGGGACCGCTTCGGACGGGTCCGGACGGACTGGGTGCGTTGGGGCCGGGTGCACTTCGACGTCGCGAGGCGCGTGGACTTCGGGAGCGAAAGTGGATGGACTCGTTGCTGCCTCGTGGCGCACTTGGGACTCTGCAGACTCCGGATTGGGCGGCACCGGACTTGCCAATGAAACTTCTTCAGGTCGGATCATCTGCACTGGACTGCGCAAGTCATGCTTCTCCGGACGCTTTTCACATGTGTCCACTGACGGCGAAGCAAACGTCGTCTCTTTGGTGACTGAGGACTCTAAGGCTGCGCAGGTCATGTCCTGTGAGGGTGCTGCCTGAATTTTTGCTTCAGCATTCGGTGGACCAAGTGACATGGGCTTGGGTGGAGGTGGAGCAGCACCGGTTTGCTCCACCTGTCTTGTCATGTCTTGTGCTGCTGCAAGACTCGGGGCAGAAAGGACTGTTGCCATAACTGTCATCTGCTGGCCAGGAATCATCGAATCGGCAAATGTTGCACCTGGCAAGCAATTGACATGGATTCCCGGCAGTACCAACACAGCTCCAAACAGCTCCAACACACCGTGGAACAGCTGCTCTACCCTGCCTGCCAGTGATCGCAACAAGCCTTCTTTCCGGTTCTGCAGTACTTCTCGTTCCTTCAGGAGCTTGCCTGGTGAAGCGAGCCGGTTGGCGCTGCGCCGTTGCAGGACAGGAGAGTCACAGGGAGCGCCTTTGATGGTCCAAAACAGCTAGCTGTCGGAAGGAAAGCAGAAAGCGACGGCCCGGGCCTTGTTCTTTGACATACTCTGCTAGCAATTGCCTCAGCAACGCAAAAGGAAGCCAATGCAACTGACTTACTTCCATATCATGGCGTCTCTTTACAATGTCAAAAAGAATTGCTTAGCAAGGAAGTCCTGAAGGCCAGCAACAGAAGCCCTAAGCCATGTCGCAATTTGTTCCTGATTTCAAGTGCCATGCTAAAGCTACTTCTATGCTGTCAAGCACATCGCACCCAAATCATGCTTGTCTTATTCTCAGTCCTCCTACACTGGTAGGCTCTTATGCATGTCTTTTCAAGTATTTGAGATGCTTCATACTTCAGCGATCCTGCAAGGAATGTTAGAGCTTTGCCCCAGCCAATCCCCACGTGGTTCGGCCAAGGTTCTTCTTGGACTCCGTCTGACGATGCAAAGAATGGCAGAAATCCACCAACCTGGAATACCGACGTTTTGCAGCGGGGCGAACCGTCTCACCGTCTCGCTTCCCCAAACGTAGTGGCTATCGCTTCCCCAAAAGTCGTGGGGTTTTGGAGTCGGTCAAGTCTTCAGCACTTGCAACCAGTCTGCTGCTGCGTGGAGAGCGCCGCAAGGTGCCCCACGTCCTGACCGTTGGAGTTCGCCGAGTTCGGACTCCGTCGGGGCAGAACTCGCGAGGACGTGCGTTGGGTGCGTGAGTTCGTTCCAATGAAAGTCAGCCGGAACAGGCTTCGTATCTTCGAAACCTGGCCTTCGATGTCAGGCAATCCTCTTTGGCTGGGAAGGAGGGGTGAAAAGGATGCAAAAAAGCCTTGTGTGGCGGTACACAGGCAGCACAACCCAACCTCCTAGTGGAACCTGGAACACACACCGGACACCGAACATCCGCGGTCGATGCTTGTTGCGGGCATCGATGCCTGTGGAGGGGTTCGCAGCCGTGCTGTCGGCACTGCCATCCTTGGGTTCTCACGAAAGGAGGGCCTATTGAAAGAGCGATCTCCAGACCTAACCATGTGCCACTTACTAACAAGGACTCTCAATACATATATGATATATGAGTTATATAATTACTTGGCAAAAGAGTGTCCCTCAAGCCCAAGCTGATCTAGTTGCAAAAGAGATCGAGTTTCACCGTAAAGCAACACAAGACCTGTGCGGCCTAGCTGCGAAAGAGTTTCCAGCTTCGCCTCCGAAATCCGGCAGATCAGTCTGACATGTAGACGTGTGAAACACCGAAGTGACGCCCTGACGCACTTGTGGGCTATTGGATCGTGAAGGCAAGGGTCAGCATGATATGGGAGCAAAGGTGCTACCTCCTTTTTCGAAATTTGCAGCGGGAACCAGCGTGTGATTTCTCAAAGCGGGACACCAAAGAAACGGAATCGACAGCGCCTGGCTCGTCGGTCTTCCCATCTGTACAGCTACAGGCCTTCCAAGAAAATGCATGCTGCCATGCATTTTCAGTTGGATCTGCGTGCCTCGAAACCTGGCTTGCTCCCACCATAGCTTGCCTTGTATGACTTGTTTGCGAGTCATCAAACGCACAAACCAATCACCCACTTCGTCTATGCCAGGCTTGCAAATCACCGCACGTGTTTCATTGCTCCACGAACGTCGTCAACGTGTGATCATGCTGGAGCATGGTCCAAGGGACCATCTTCTGACTCACTAATGTAGACTCTTGATTAATAACCCCCCCATTTGAATCGAAAATCCTCTTCTGCCTCTCGCGCGCACGAAGGGTCAGTGCCCTCTGCACAGGATCGCTTGCTTTCCACAAGACGATCATCGAAATCCCCAATGAAAAGAATGAGATGTGCAGACATCTCCCAAACAAAAGATGGATCCAACAGCTACTCACAAAGAAAGTCCTGGACAGCAAAGTCCCAGGCACAAAGGTTGGCTTTCGTGACACGTTCGGCCACAGAGACCAAAAAAGATAGTTCGTTGGGACTTCGCCATGGGCGTCCGCCAAGAATGACCCCACACGGCATGGTTTTGCCCCACGCATGATGGTCATGGGCATCATGACTGCCAGGGAGCATTTGACCTCCAAGTTTCTTCTGCAAAAACGGCACCACTTCTTGAGGGTACTGCTCAAACTGGCAAAAGTAAAAAATTCATCATCAAAAAGATCTAACTTGTGGCGGCGTTGAACGAGCATCACAGCCAGCTCAGTATAGGACACTTTGTGTCCCGGGTCGGTTGACCATTTCAAGCTACAAAGAAAGGTGGCAAAGGCTTTCCAGTTAATGTTCGAACTGGGCCAACCTACAGGTGAAGTTGTGGTGTCCAAATCATGTGCCTGCCACGTGTAGTTCTGTTGCCCTTCATGCCATGGAAGAAGAGGGAACCTCTGGACAGGGTCCTCAGCTTCAACATTTTCCTCATCGTCAGATTCAAGCTCCCTGGGTGGTGCAGTTGTCCCAATCATCTTGGACAATTGAGTAAGCCACTCTTGCCTTTCTTTGACGCATGAGCATAGTGTGTCATACATCCGCTGATGGATGGCAGCATTGCTTAAGGCGGCCTTCTTTGCAGCAGAGTCAGCACGGCGATTGTGAACAATGTCGGTCACCGTTGCGCCATGCTGTGCCGCTGCAGCTGGTGTTAGCAAATATTCGGGTGTGCCTTCAAGAGTGTGCGCAGGTATCCAGACATATTCGAGTGGACAAGCATGCAGCTGGCGGCGTTCAGTGAAGAGGGTTAGCACAAATTGCCACCAAAAAGTCAGCGGCCATTCCTCCTTGATGTCCTCCGTGCCAACAAGCTCATTGAAGTGGTTGGCAAGGCTCTTGCAGTCAGTTCTGATCTGAATAGGACCTGAGGCAGTGGCAAAGGCCCAAATAGCAGCCCACAATTCCGCAGTATAGCTCGAAAGATTCCAATGCTGGACAGGGCCGGACTGAACAACAACACCATGTGAGTTCACTACGGCAAACCCTGCACAGGAAAGCATGAAATGCGTGGGCCACTGCACAGACCCGTCAGTCCACAAGGTTTGTTTGGATTGGTGTGGATCCCATGTGCCAGGTGGGATAGCTAAGGGGTCCGACACCTGCAAACGATGCCGAAGAACTGAAACAGGATGCTCAACAACACCTAGCAATTCAAAGTTAGCACCCAACTCGTGGACAGGCGGTGGAGGATAATCATGTCGAATTTGAGTGCATTCTCGGACAAGGTGAGGCAATGATTCCTTAGAACTTGAACACATACGACAGGTGGAATGTTCAACCCTCTTGGCCGCAGCAAGGCGGTCATTGGTGAGGACACACCCAACTAGCTGTGCTTCGAAGAAGGCAGAATCCGGAATCTCCCCTTCCGTCCTTGCTGTTTGATTACGCAAAAAGCTAGTTGAGAGCCAAAAGTCAAGGATGCCTGCAGGATTCCTAATATCCTTACGACTCTGTAATCCAGCTTTTTCGTAACAAACGTGCTTGGCAAGTTGCTGGAGAACAGGACGCACATCGCGATGACCCAGCTGATGCAAGGCACACAGCGGCTTGCCAGCCAATGCCAACATGCCATCAGCGCGAAGATCTATGTGAAAGAAAGCAAAGGCATCCCTAACACGTTGAACAATGGCGTGCTTATGGTGACAGGACTTAAGAAGATCATTGAACCTTAACCTTTCACAGGGGAAAAACTGGAGGTACCTACAAACATCCAGAATGGAGTTATAATGTCTGGCACACATAGGCTCAACTCTGTGCGGCTTGCAAAGAAAGGCAAAAACTAGGAATTTTGCCCGCCAGTGGGGTCTGTTCTTCCACAGTGAGGTGACAATTTCGCCTTGAATCCTGGCAAGGGCTCTGGCCGGGATCATGTTAATGGCAGCATTATACGTGCACTGAGGGATCACTTTGGCGCCTATGATTTTTGCTTTCTGAGCGCAAGAGATGGGAAGGCAGGAAATATTACGCACATCGGCAATAATCTTTGCAGTTTTATCGTCCGAGAAATGCATGGCAGTGCGATTGCTCGTTTGGATGTGCACACCGAGGATCTCGATTTCGAGCGCACATTTCATGTCGGGGAACAAACTTTTGACTTCTTTCCTGGCAGTACTGGAGGAGCCCCACACAACACATTTGGATGCATTCATGGACTGGCCTGCTAGCTCATCCCATATCTGGGTAATGCGAATAGCCTGAGCAAGTTGATGTTTATTAATCAATTTAGTCCACAAATAAGCATCGTCAACAAAGGCTTGGGCAGTGACACTAGGCAGAACATCCAAAAGATGGATCCACACCTTCATATGGACATTAATGGCAATAAGTGACAGAGAACAACCCTGGGCCACACCGTTTGGGCCATGTGTGCTTTGGGGTTGAACCCAGGCTTTGTAGGAAAGGTGCTTGGACATGTCCTGGTATATTTTGACGAACATGACGACAATCCGCTTGGGGACACCAAAGGCAAGCATAAGTGCAGCAGCATACGAGGGGATAATCCTATCAAAGCATTTAGCTTTATCGATTTTGACCCCAATCAGGTCACACTTTTCATTGCGGTTGTGGTCAAGCGAAAGGGCGAAGCGAGTGTGGATGGCAGCCATGTGGCGTTTTGGGATGCCACCCTGCAGTTGGTGAGGCGTGACAACCATTTGCCAATGTTTGAGATGCACGAGACGCGCGCCAGTGTAAGCCAGGAGGATGACCGGCAACAGCGTGATGAGTCTCTTTTGCAAAGGTTCGGAACTGCCATTTTTGTTTAGAATGATCTGTCTTGCTGTGGACAAAATCTTTGGCAGAGGTTCATCATTTGTCTCAAGCCTACGAAAGAGAGCAGCAAACCACGCAAAACAAGCATCTGGGAGAACCTGCATTTCAGTGGTCCGCCACCCGTCTAAGCCTGGAGCAGCTTCTTTCTTTCTCTTCTTGACTATACTTTTAAGGTCCGCCGCACAGAGCTCAGGAACAGGGTAATCAAGGTGGAAATGATGAATGTGGGGCCACACAATTTCAAGCATCTTGAGAGCATGAGGGTAACCCAAGTTCGCACTGAAAATGGGGTCCCACTGGTTATTGATCTCATGCATCGCCAAACCCGGATCAAAAATGGCGTTCCCGAGTGAATCCACAACCAAATTGGCAGGTTCAGTATGGGTCTTGTTTTTGAGATGGCGAAACAAAAAGGCAGACCCAAGCTTTGCGGAATCTTGGATCTTATCTTGCCAAGCTTTGATACGCTGCAATTTGAGTTTGATCTCCTGTGTGGTAATACGATCTTGGACCCACTGAATGGCCACGGTGACATCCACCAAGTTGGGTCTCCGGGACGGTGGCCAGAGACAGGGTGCTCTAAGCCTCGCCAACCGATTCCACACACGGACAAAGGTTCGGTGTTGAATCCAATTGTTGGTCTGGGTCGCAAGGTTGCGTGAAAGAAACCGCTCAATCTCTCTGAGACCACCTAAGGCATTGTAAAGCCACGAAAGGACCAAAGTGGTTGCAACACCATGAGGCTTTTGACCCGGGCAAATCTTCTTGGGACGGAATTTGACAGGCAAACCTCTAGTTTTGGGGCCAGGCCCCCACGTGGCACCGTTCTCAAGAAGGGTGTTGATACAGGCATGATTAGTCTGATTCCAACACGATTCAATATCGTCAGCTTCGGTCCATGGTGGGTCCTCATTAGGTGGAGTGTCGCCACACGTTGAAAGTGCATGAAGTTCAAAGGGGGCGGTTTTGTAGAGGACAAACCCACACTGCCAAACCCTCTCCCAAGACAAGGTGAGTTTAATGGGTCGATGTTGAGTCTTGAATTGGGAAAGAACCTCAGCTTGCACAGAAGAAGCAGCAACCTTGTTAACAAGTATAGCATCGATGCTGCTACAACCATCCCCATAGCCGGAAAAGGTCCCATTGGCAGAAAACGTCAATGGCCTGTTGCCGGATTGTGGGTCGAGGTGTGCGATAGGGTCACACCAAAGTTGCACGCATGCATGACAGCCTGATATTGGAGGGGCTCTGTTTGGAGGTCACCAGCAATGAACACTGGAATGTCGCCAAACTGGCTAGCAATGCAAAAAACGTCAGTGAGGAGCCCATGGTTGGAATCGAGAATGTCACGATCTTGGCTGGCGCCAGTTTTGCAGTACACATTGAAGACAAGTGCTTTCAAGGAAGATGAAACTTGAATCCAAACAGCCTGGACACGTTTGGTGTTGAATAAACTTTGGTATTTCCCAGAGGCATCATCATTACTAACAAACGGTGTGCACAGTTCTGCAGGTGCTGCAACTGCGACACCTCCGTGAGGGGGTTCTGCGGACTCCATTGGATGCTAAAAGCCCAGGAAGCAAAGCCCCAGGAAAGAGGGTCTTGCCACATTGTGCCACAGAATGACGAGCACTGTTAATACAGTTTTTCCCTATTCTAGTTTCTTGCATGCAGGTGATGGCTGACTCCCAAGTCTTCCAACATGAAGCGGTCTTGAGGGAACCAATATTAGCAGAGTAAATGGACCACAGGTGCTTCTCCTCAGGACCTTCCCCCGGGTA